ACTAGATCCTCCTATGGTTTAACTTTTGTGGTTTCTTTCCATTTACACTGTCATGACCCTAGTCTAAAGCTCTATCATATTTTACTTTTTTGAAAGACTGAAATGGCCTTCTTATTTTCTTCCTAAATCAACTCTTGCCCATTTCTAATCTTCTCTTCTCCTCTCTATGGTCAGAGTGATTTATTGAAAATGAAAATTGTACTCAGTGGCATTGCATCACTCCTTGGGTAAACATCTAAATCTTAAGCATAATGTGGGACTGGATTACAATTCACCCCCATTCAGTGCCCATGATTGATGCCAGTCATTCAATGGAATTACACAGTCCTGACCCTGTTGCTCTCAGGGATGGCAAAGGGGCTGATGAACAGAGAGAGAAATGTGAGCACACACTTTAAAAACCAATGTGATTGATACCTCTCTTCTTCTTCCACAACAGAGACAATATTCAAGATTGAGCTGACAGCCTGAGTCCAAAGGGCAGATAACATGGAGCAGAACCATGTAGACATGCAGCATGAGAGATAATTAAACCTCATTGTAGGCCACTGAGATTTGGATTCCAAATCTTTACTCTTAAAAATAATTCAAGGAAGTTCTAATCAGCCTGATTATTGTACTTTGTCACATTTTTGCAAAGATTTCGAAGAATCAAACAACAATGTCACATCACAAGTCTTTATATCCCTTTTAATTCTTTGCAGCTATGTCAATTTTCAATGAAGAATTTTAGATGTTCATCTAAAAATATGTCAAGTAGTATAAAGTTTCTTGAAATTCTTATTAGACCACTGGACATAAGGGATTTGAAGAATTTTATAATTTGAATTATGATTTGGCTTAATATTAATGTTTAAGAGTGAGAAAATATAAATTGGTGAAAGATGCTCTATAAACCATTTTTAGTTAAAAATTAATATATGGATATAGTAAAATATTCAAGTAATAAAGTATATGATATTGTTGGGCCACCAGGCTACTTTTGAATCTGCCATCTCTCACATCATCTTTCAACATTAAAGTTAATATCCCTTTGTAGTTTGTCACTCTTACGTGGGTTTTCTTTTACTTCAAGTCTCAGTTCAAAATTCTCTGTCTTTAAAAGTTCCCTAGCACACCTGGGTCTCTGCTCTATCCCCCTGCCCTTCACCATGAACACAGCTAATGAACTATCATGCTCTATCTGGTGTGTCCTTATTTGATCTGTGAGCATCCCTGAGGAAAGCTTCTGGCTTTTATTCTCTGTCCACTCTGAATCTGCACACAGTGGGCCTCCAGGACAGCTTAGGGTCCTGGTAATCTGCCTCCAACCCCTCACTTCCTTAGCCAGAAGCCCACAGCTGTCAGAAAACCTAGGGCATCGCTTTGGCCCAAGCACTGCTCCTGAACCCTGAAGGCTTCTGCAGCCTCTTCACTTGAGAGTGCGGTCCCAACGGTCAGATCTTGCTCATGCCTGCCTTCAAGTGCTGAGCATTTGCTACCTTAACAGGGTTAATCTTACAAGGATTACATTGGTTAGCCAGTAGTCAGCCCTCAATAGATATTGCTTAAACTCATTTTGATCTTAAGATTAAATTCAAGACTTACAGTGTTAGCTGGAAGTTCCTCCTTGCGGCTGACCTTATCCCTACTGTTGGAAGTTCCAGGAAACTCCATTTAGCCTGCTGGGAAGAAAAGTCAGAATTCTCTTGATAGCCAATGTCAGAAAACAAGCAATGAATCAGAGGAGGAGGAAACAATTTATGTAACTAAGATGTCTAAGTGTAGACAGCTTCAGGCAAGACTGTACCTGGACTCTCTAAGAATTCAGCATAGAAGGCCTCTTCTGACCTCTTAGCTTTACTTCCCCCTGTGCTGTTGTCATTCTCACCTGGGCTTTCTTTTTATGAAAGCAAGATGGCCACCAACAGCCACAGGCTCAGAGCATAACTGCTCAGCTCTCCAACTGAAATAGAACTTCTCTTCTCCCATGATTCCAACACTGGGCTCTGACTCATGGGGCTTGACTGTCACATGCCCAGCCCTGAGCCAATCACTATGGTTTAGGATGTGAAACGTACTGATTGGTCAGCTCTGGGTCATGGGACCACCCTCCCGTTCCTGTGGTGGGAGGTAGTGTGATGCCTGATAGAGTCAGGGGGATGGGGCCAGCTCATGTCCTCCAGGAACAGTCTATTGTTTTCTGTTTACAAAAGAAGCCTTGGCATCACTTCTGTTCCCATTCCCATTTCAACCATATCCAAAAGGAGGGAGATGTCCTTTTTCCCGCCTTAATTTTTAACAATTGATTTCAGAGAGAGGAGGAGAGAGAGATAGAAACATCAATGATGAGAAAGAATCATTGATTGGCTGCCTCCTGCTCACCCCCTGCTAGGGATTAAGTCTGTACCGCAGGCATGTGCCTTGACTGGAGATCGAACTGGTTCATAGGTCTATACTCAACCACTGAGCAACACCTACCAGGTGAGCTGTCCTTTTTGATGACAGTATTTGGGGTCCACTCCCAGCTTCAAGACCTGCGGGCTTTTGTGTTGTTTGTTTGTTTTATCAAATTATAATTATTTATTTAGTCAACAAAAATCTACTGAGCACCTACAATGTGCTACTATGTGTTTTCAGGACTGAGAAATGGACATCATCACCCAACAGTCTTCGAAAGGAAATGACTTCAGTCTGAGCCAGCAGCTGAGGACTAGCTTCCAGTCTCGCTCAGGCCCTGACTGTGCAGCCCCGAGGGAATTGCTTCCCCTCTCTGGGATCTGGATTTTCTGTGTCTGTGTGAACCCCAGGCTCCAAGTTCCTGTGAGTTTGCCTGATGCTGCTGTTGCTACAGAAATCTCTTTGGGGAAGTTAGTGAATGCAGAGACTCCCACTCCTGAGAGGCAGTCTGGGACTCTGAAAGGGACGTGTGGGGAGTCCTGCTGCCTGGAAGAAGAGAGACCCTGATGTGTTGGTAAAGGGGAGAGGACTTTCTTTTTATTCTGGCTGCCTCTGGTTTCACCTCTCTCTTTGAACATTTGTGATATGAGTTCTTTTTCCTGGTCACCCTGTCACTCATTTTTCAGTTCACCCAGCATCTCATTACCTTATTAATATATTTGTTCCTTCTGTTACTGGCCTTATGAATTTTTTAAGAAAGAGGGAATGTTTATGATAAGAATAAAGAGGACCCAAGAATAAACAGAGTCTAGAGTAGCTGAACTTCTTAAATGACTGGAGCCAGTAACTGATAAGACACGAGAAACCTTGTGGGCTGCCTTTCTTCCACCTCCACCACCACCTGCCCTCTGTGGGCCACAACAGCTCTTATCTCAGATTCTCTCTGCACATCACTAGATCCTTTTGTCTTTTATATTTATTGGTTTCTCTCCCTTTTTACTGCCATGTTCACAGTTTAAAGCACTGTTCGTTTTTGTGTTTTCGGGGTTTTTTGTTTTTTGTTTTGGCTTGGAAAACTGATATGGCCTTTAAACTTTTCTTCCTACATTCATTCTTGCCCATTCCATTTGTTGTTCTCCTCACTGTTGTCAGAGTAATATAATGAAAATGAAAATTGTACTCAATGGTGTTCCATTGCTTCTAGGATAATCATCTAGATAGGATAAAAATCTTAAGCATAATGTGGGACTGGATTATGATTCACCCCCACTCATGCCCTTGGTTGTGGCAAGTCTTTCATTGGAATTACACAGCCCTGATCCAGCTGCTCTTAGGGTTGGCAAAGGGGCTGATGAACAGAGAGAGAAATGTGAGCACACACTTTAAGAACCAGTGTGTGATCGATCACTTCTCTTTTCCTGCTTCCATAACAGAGACAGTATTCCAGATAGAGTTGGCAGCCTGAGTCCAGAGAGCAGATACATGGAGCAGAACCATGTAGACATGCAGCATGAGAGACGATTTAACCTCATTGTAGGCAACTAAGATTTGCGTAATATTTGTTACACATGGATAACAAAATCCTTTAAAGTCAGGTGGGTTCCATTCTTTTCTCTTAAAAATAACTGAAGGAATTTCTAATCAACTTGATTATGTTTTCACTGTCACAATCTTGCATGGATTTCAATAATGAAATGACAACACCACATCACAACTTTTCATATCCCTGGCTATTTTTGTAAATAAGTTTTCTTAATGCCTGCACCTTTAAAATAAAAAAAAATAGAATTACAACTGATAAAACTTATCTCTGTGAAGCAGTAAATAATTTATGAGTACATGAATTAATTGGTAATATTTAAAATATATAATGGTAAGCCTTTAGTGGCAGTAGTAAATACATACATGTACACACGCTTGCGCACAAACAAGGTTAGCTCATAAAAATGAAGACTTAAAAGAAAATTTTACATAAACTATTAAAAGTTTGTATTTTATATTTTAAATTTATTAAATGCATATTTTTCTAACAAATATTATAATATTCTACTTATACTTTTTACAAATCTCTCCTCCTTTATGTGGCTCAGAGAATAGTTTTTCTTTTTAGACCAAATGATTTTTTAAATACTAGATAATATTAATAAAGGGAATAAAAGCAAAAGAGCAAAGTTTATTCTATGCTTTCCATATGAGCTTCATTTTATATTCTCATCTATATAATCATCTTAACGCCAGAATTTAAGATAATTAATAAAAAAGTAATCATGTTAAATTAAGATTTGGAAATGGTTTGTAATATTTACTTAAATATTTTGTTATGTCAAGTTAGTGAGAAAATAGAAATAATGTAAAGAAAAATGTTAACAAGTCATAAAAAAAGAAAAGATGAAACATTCACAGGGCAAAATTTCCACTGAACTTAACCTTGAATTTGACACCTAAAACTGAGTGCTTTAATCAAACATACGATATGTTCTCTTTTGCCTATAACATTTTGCTAATTGTAACCATACCTCAAATTTTAAAAATCACTTTAAATGCTGATTTAAAAAGTAGATTACAATAATATTTTCTGGATTTTAATTTTTTTAGTCTATTTTGAAGGAACAATTGCAGGAACTTGTGAACTTATATATTTAACAATCCCATTAAATAATTTCAGATGTACCAGATGGTTGTCTCTATTAGCCAGGTGGACTAATTCTTAATTATAAATTGTCAATGTCTTAATACCAGAAATATTGAATACTTAGTAAGCCCAATGTATGTTGTTGAAAGGAAAGTGGGCAGAATCTTCTCCATGTAGTCATTCAGTAATCCAGGTGGTTTCCAGTCTGTTCATCCCTTTCTTCTCAGTCCAGGAAATCCTCTTCTCTCTATCAGACAAAAGAATGAAAATGATAGGTGAGAGGTTTTTATGAGCCAGGCCTAAAAGTAGCAGCATCATCGACCTCTCATTGCATTAGCCAAAATTCAGTCAAATGGTCATACTTAATAAAAAGAAATATTAAAAATGGTTGTATGGCTGCTTCTCCAGGAAGAAGAGGAAAAAACCCATTAGTGATCACTAATAGTGTTACCACAGTGGCTAAAAGATTGTTAATGTACGACTTCAGATATAAATATTTAGAAGGCTAGAACTAGCTTCCACATTCTTTATGTGAGGAGCTATTAGGTAAAAGTTGCTATCAGGTAAAAACTTGCAGTTATAGTTTTAAATTAAAAAATGAACCTAAAATATTGGAACATAGTATTTAATGTGAAATCTGACATAATCACAACAGAATGAGGAATTACTACTGTTGATTCAAGAACAAAGTAATTTGGTAGTTCAATGTTTGTGGAATGCATTCAAAGGATGGTTGCCAAAAAAACACTATAATATCAATATCACTCATTGCATAGTTTAAGTACTGTTATTGGATTTGTTTTTGTGTTAGTATAGAAAATAAATAAGTAATTACATTAGCTTCCATCAAGTTTTTATTTAGATGGAAAATTATATGGCTCATTAAATTGTAAAAGAAAAAAGAGCTCAACTATACTTTGAGTGGTTAAAAGAATTAAGTGGCTATGTTGCAAAGAAATGTTAATAAGATCAATACAGAAGCATACTTTTAATTTTTACATTTTATTTAGTTATTTGGGGAATGCATACTTATTTTATTATTAATTTTTCAGTATGTAATACACATGGTAAATACATATATTTAAAAAATTAAAAGAAAAATGGCATATAGTGAGAAGACTTATTAATACCTCTTGGCTAATCACCCTGTTCCAAACTCTGATCCCAACAAATAAACACTTTTTTTTGTTTCTGATCTATTAATCCTTCCAAAGATTCCCTTTGCAAATATAAGCAAAGATGATAAATGTTTCACCCTACCTTTTTCTTACATGTGATTTTGCATAACAAGCATTCTATTCTGCACCTTGTTACATTCTCAGTAAGGATAAAAACAAAGGAAAATTACAGAGTATTTATAGTGAACATAAAAATACTGCAATTTAAGACCAGATTGAGAAAAGTACCTTTAGGATTAAGAAAAGTACCTTTCGGATTGAAACACATATACTCTTTTATTTTTTTATTTTACTTTATTTTTGTGTGTGGCAATCACTGCTTGTAACCCATGACATTGTTTTCATACTTCCTTCTTCCTAATAGAACCCCTGCTTTTTAAGGCAGCAACATGCCTGTTAATTACATGGGTAACATATCAGCCTCCTTTGCAATTGCAGGCAGCCATATGATGATATTCTGGTTAGTGAGGTAAGTCCCTATAAAGGGCTTCCCTTTCTTGTTCACAAGGACAAAGCTCACTTAGGAAAGCCCATCCCTTCTGCTTCCTCTCATCTTTTTGCCTGGACTGGGCACACATGGCCTGGAGGTTCGATACTAATTTTGTGAACATGAGGCAAAAAGCATAAGAATAAAGGTCTACACACACAGGGTTGAAGGTCACAAAGATGAAGAGGTCTTGGGTGCCTGATGACACTAAACAAAATGCTAAGTCCCATCCTCCACATTCACAATGAAAACAATTTGGTGATTTGGTTATAGGGGATGAGGCAGAGGAGAGAGGTCACAAAAATGTGGTTTTCTTTGTTTGGGCGCATGAGTTGCTTGCTAAGGCACGAAAGGACAGGCATCATATTTTATTGTGTTGTGATTAACCATTACTCATCATCATCTTTCCCCACCAGGCAGTGAATTTTTTGGTGAGGGACCTTTTTCACTATTGTTTCCTTCACATTCATTGCTTATGAGGTTAAGCATAAACCTCTCTTTATTTGTGGAAGCATAAATATTTGTTAAAAAAGAAACAAAGAGAGGATAACAAGCACAGTTTGGGACACAGGTAATGATATCTGTGGAAATGGCAAGTTTGGAGCTAATACTAATGGTTAATATTATTTAAGCACTCACTATGTGCCAAAAATTTTACTAGTTTTACATGCATTAACTCACTGAATCTTCAAGAAATAGAAGAAAACAAAATATTATTAGGTAGAGATTAGCATTATATCCATTCTTTAAGATGTGGAAATTAAGGTAACAAGAAGCTAATTAACTTGGCTGCGGTTACACAAGGATGAACCCAGAGGTCAGAGCATATCCAGTAGGGGGGCTGGATCCTAATTCAGTGGGTTTGGTTTCAGAGCTCATAAGCTTAACCATGAGCTCATGAGCTATACTGTATACTGTCTCTCCTAGCTACGTGTGACACAGGATATACTAGTATATATATGCATGTATATGACTTAGAGTCATTTTTCAAGCCAGAATTGGAATAAGGAAAATTATGTGTCTCGACTGAGATGTCTCCAGGAAAGCTGGACCAGCTGTTATTAGGAAGCCTCCTTGTAAGGTGACTATGTTCACCAGAATCTAGGATCTAGCTGTCAGAGAAGCAAGTCAAAACTTTAGATTTGACTGTGTTGTTGCTGTTAATTTAGCTTAAGGGAGTTGACTCACACTAATTCATAAGAGACTCAGTCATCAAAATCAGAATGTCAACGGACTCATTTTAAATGAGAAAGTTAATAGAAAGTGGAATAAACATCCGCACCAGGAAGGCAATGTTCATAAAAGGTTCTTAGTGAGAACAAAACAAAAACAAGGTACGTTAGTTAAAATATTTGAATGCTTAAAGGCACTAGGATCTTACATGTTACATTTCAACAGTGATCTACACCTGCCAGGTAGGCTTGACTGAGAATCCGCAACCCTGATTTCTGAGTGCTCAGCCAGTTTCTGCCTCTGTCTCCCTTTTCTGTACTTGCTATGCTGTCTGATTTGAGTCCTTCTGGTCGACATATTCTTCCCTTAAACTTCAGTCCAAGCATGGAAACATGACTGAGCATTTTCTCCCCAGTAGATGTGTTCCTTTATGGTTAAGTCTGAAAGGACAACCTGATTTGTTTCTCTAAGTTCTTTGTCTCTTCCTACATCCCCTTCACCTCTACAACTCACTGATTTTCATCCGTTTTTCAGTTACAGTACAGGAAACAGTATCTAACACGTGCGACCTCTCCTTAAGACTAAAACCTCCATCTGTGCCTTCGTTTCCCACCCTTCTGTACTTTTAGGATCCCGACCACTCTCGCTTATCTATCTTCTCTTCTGCAGTTTCAACCTCAACTTCACCAACTTATAAACATCATCAAGTTTCTATCATAATAAAAACACAAAACCACCAAATGCCTAAATTTCATGTTCCCTTTAAATAAAAAGAGCAGGGTGCTCTCTTCGGAGCCTGTGTGCCCTTCCAATACTGCCATGCCTCCTCTAAGCCACAGCAAACCGCTCTGACAGGTTGATCTGCATCCACTATTTCCACTTCCTTACTTCTGTGACCGCTAATTGGCAGCAATCCGGCCTTGGCTCTCACTGCTTCAATAAATACACTTTGGCACACGTCCCCCGTGGCATTCCACTTGTCACATTCATTGACTGTGCTCTGCATTGCATCTCACTTGACCTCATTAGCATTTGGCACTCTTGAACACTTCCTTTGCAGAGCTCTCACCTTTTTCCCTCAGGACACCATTTCTCCTAGTTTCTTTCTACATTTTCTTCCTCATTTACTTTATGTGTTCTTCTTTCTTTATCTGCCCCCTTAAATCTACGTGTTCCCCAGGGCACCGTCATTGGCCCTTTGTTATCCAGTATCTATCTATCCTACCTCTGAGATCATTTCCATTTCGATGGTTTCAACAGTAATTGTATATCTAATACTGATTGTCCTTTATCTTCAACTGCATGGTGGACATATCCACCAAAGGACATTTCAAAATCCTCATTCCCAAACTGAAACTTAATATTTCCTTCAAGTATTTAATATTTCCCTTTCTCTTCTTGTCCATCATACCATTTATCCAACCAAACCATAAACCTGGGAATTATTCCAAACTTTTCTATTATCTCATTATTAAATTAGTGAAAACCTCCACCTCTATTCATTCTATTACTATACTTCTTTGGTAGTTTTGACATCCTATTTATTCGTCAAAAGCAGAGAGGGAAATTCTCTAAGTTTTCATTTTTGTTTTATGATACTTTCCCTCAAGATTGAAAAATCTCATATAAGAGATTTTTAGTAATTAATAGTATTGCTTTGCCAATAGATCTTCTCTATTGACAGAAAACATCTCCCTTATCTTCCTTTGTTGGGAATGAGTATACCCACTCTCATTTTAGATGAGATGCTGGGTAGAAGCAGAGAGAACCCACTACAGTCATATTTTACTAACACACTAATGTAAGTATTTAAGTATTATTGCCAGATAAAATATAATATGCCTAGTTAAATTTGACTTTCAGGTAAACAACAAAAATATTTTAGTATAAGTATGTCCCGTGCAATACTGGGACATACCTATACTAAGAAAATTCATGGTTTATCTGAGATTTAATTTAATTGGGCATTAACTAAATCTGATAACCCTAGTTTAAGCTCCTTTTCTTCTAAATATGTACTCTCTGGAATGCAGGGGGGTGGGGGGAAGAAAGTCTGGGGACCTAGGGTCACTAGGTGGTCATTATTGTCACAATCCCCCCCCCCCCAAAAAAAAATGCTGAAACCATCTTCAATCTCTACCATCTTGGGATTTATGTCGGTTGCCCTGGGGCCTATGAAACACCCAACCAGCCTTTCATTATGCGGATATCATATTTCCTGTTCCACCCGAAGTCTTCTTTATCCAAACCCTGGAGCATGTCTAGATTAGGATTGTGAAGCCTGCCAATTTTCCCTGCCAAAGACTTGCCATCTTGTAGAGGTAATGCCTGCCTCTTGAGATTTTAAGTTTTATTAGTTATCCCTCTGCCCGATTCTACCTACCCTTGTATTGTCTCTAGGAACCATTC